ATTTCACATAAAGTTTTACATACAGTGTGTTGCAGATCCATATTTTTCTAATAAATTTGAATTTTTCCATGTTCTGATGAAATAATTGAACCTGAAAGAAGTACAATTTTCCACATGTCTTTTTCAGTTTCAAGTGATAAAGTGCTGTGTATGTTTTTTTTTCCTCATTTCTACTCTCTCAGGTGCCATACGATACTTGAGACTTAACGTACACATGTGTGAACATTTAATATCCACAAAATTATAAGACATATAAACATGTTTTAATCAATCTACTGAGTTAAAATGTGTAATCAAATATTTTTTTGCTTTTAAATGAAAATTCAAGTCTGAAAGGATTAATTACCGATGTTCCCATGGATTGTGTTACGGAAAGGACGATACAAATCACCGATGAAAATCGCGAGAAAGACCGAAAAGTAATTTACTCGGGTTACTTTTGCCCGGTTAATAGTTATCGGATCACTTTCTTCGAGGTGCCGTGGAGGAGCGACCTTTGCAGAGGTCGCCCAGACCACGCTCGAGTTTCACCGGCACGCTCGTCTTCTCCATTGGTTCCACCGTTACCTGGGTACGTTCAATTCCAAGATCGATTCACGGACTTCCTTCTTCCTGCGACACGATGCACCCTGAGAACCCACGCTCCCGACCTTACCATTCCCCTGCGAGCCATCGAAAAATCGTCTGGTTCACGGAAACCGGCAGACCCCGGGGTTAATCAATTGCAGGTACTAAAAGGGTAATTGGTGTGTGTCAGGGCAGAAGGAGTACAATATGTAGGTAATTGGACATTTGTAGGTGAATCCTGGAGCATTGTTTGATAGTTAACATCTTATCTAGTGGAGAAATTCGTCTCGAATAGGAAAGTAATCATTCGATTAAAATGGAATTGTACAATTCTCTGAAAAGGAAGTATTATGTGGAAGGAAGGAAGAGAAAGTAGTAAATTGGTTACGAAAGGTAGAAAAACTAAGGAGATTTAGAGAAGAAAGGGAGTGATACATGAAGATGGGTAGGATAAGTGGGATATGATTGGAGAATAGAAGGATAAGTGACAGTAATGTAATAGAAATTTTAAACCAAGTCCTTCGCCTTCAAGCTGCAATTATTCATAAATATCTAATATATAAAAATTACACTTCGTTGCTAAAACGAAAAACTAGAACTCTTAATTGTTCTATTTTCATTATTTTCTAAACTGAGATACACGAATTTAAACTTTATAAAATGTAATATTATAGAAGCAGGAAAGTAGTGAAATAATCAAACACACTATAATATTATCAACCGAACAGCTATTTATTACAATATTTAAGAAAATTGTATGAAAAAAAGCTTTCAAAGTTTCGGAATTAGGGCGTAAAAGAATATTTGTTGTTTTCTAGGTTGAACTTTCTTTATATTATGGTGAATTTGTATTCTTTTGGCCAATGAGACGTAGATTGATTGACTAAATTTTTTTTGAATAATAGAGTTGGAACAGTCAAGAACTCGAGGAACGAATACTCTGAACTAAATTTGGACTTTCTTCCGCCTAGACTGCTCGTCACTCGCCTCATTTGCGAGCCAACCAGAGCCATTCAACGTTACCACGTTAACGTCTAACAAAAACTCCGTTAATATTCATCCACTCTGTACCGTTATTCAACACACTGATTCAATGTGAAACGCGACATGTGCGGTAAGTTTATTGCATCTATACTCTGCGTGGTGTTCTCGCAGTGATTTAGTGCCTCGAGATTATTCCACGCGGAGTCACACGGTTACCGGATTCTTCGGCCGATTTTCCATAGTTACTCCCATGGAACGATAAATCGAAATCGGTGGTAATTATCCGCATTTCCATTTACAATCATTCACACATCCCAGAGCTATCTCCTGCTTATTATATAACTTTCACGCGATTCCGTCGTGTTTTACGAGGGAATAGATCGATCGAATTTTTCGACGAACCTCGTGTAACCTCTACGAGTCACAGGAATCAAAAGATCCTAACTTATCTTCGCGAATAGACTATGAGTTCTTAGAAATTCAGTCGTCTGTCCTGTAGAATTCAAGACTTCCTCGTGTATAATTCAGAAACGACAACGTTTTCGAGACTTCCTCGATCCCACGCGACACGGGCAATCAAAAGGTCGATAATTACCAGCCAGATTGTCCGTGATCGATCACCGTATCATGAGCCCAGTCGTAGATCGCCCTCCGATACCTTCTACGAAAGAAGAGGCAACACGATGACCCGGGTTGCTCTCACGCGTTTGTCTCAGTTGTTCACTTCCGCTAGTGAAAGGTGCATGCACACTCACCTCTATAGGTAAAATGCGCTTACGTGCGCAACCTACGTGGAGATCCCCCGTGTGCGCATCAGCCTGGCTAAGTATATACGCCTCCTCCAGTCAGTAACCGATGGTGTTTGCCTGGAAAGGCAGGCTTGGATCGACGCATCCACTCTGATTGAAATTCTAACGGGTGTCTCGCCGCGCGCGAAACGATCGGATTTCTCCGGGGACCAGTCACACGATATCGAGGAAATCGATCACACACGAGGAAATCGAGTATCATTCGAGCCGATTCCGTTTTCCTTGTCCGTATGAACTTTAGGTTTTGAACGACGATAGAACACGTTTCCGATTAAACCTTGACATTTACACAATACCGGATTATTATCTTGTTTGCCTTCTGAATCTGTTTATCTATTTTTCCTCTTTATAATACATATCATAGAGCTGTATTTTCTTTTATTTCCTATCGTGAAGGTGTTATTCCGAAGTCTTGGGACGAAAGGAATGTTTTTAAGAGAACTCTCGGAGTACGATAGATAACGACGGAATGAATTCGGATTTTCCAAACGAAAAACCGTTGCGTAACACTGTTTTGTACATACTCGTCCCGATCGACGATTTCTAGGTAGATCTATCGTGTAAACGCTGCTACATGGGGGTAACGATCGATTTTAAAGAGAAAAAGAGAAACGCGGAAAGACGAGCGCGGGTCGAGCGATCGTCCAAGAAAGCGTTTGTTTCGCGACTTCTCTTATCGCGTGAGAACGCATTAAGCTGGACTTGTCGGGCATATTAACACCGTATCACGATAATATCGTGTACTTGACATTTCGGGGTGTCGTTTACGCAACAACGATTTTTACGACGGTCGACCTGGATAATACCGATTCGAGCGGAATCCCATTAAAAATTTAATTACTTCGCGTGCTATTCTTTGGATCGTCGGTCGTTGATACACAGTACCGCTCAGAAGTATACGAACCACTCGACTGGTTTTGGGTAAACACAAAGAAACTATCAATTCCTTGAATTCTCGATGATATTCCACACACTGCTCTTCGATATCTTTAGCTTATTTGCAATATCTCCGACCGAATAACCTTTACCACGAAGAACACACACCGCAGAACGTTTTTCAATTAAGATCACTGGCACTTTCGACATTTTCAGCACGTTAGATCGAATGTTGCTTTGCCAAAGAACGAAGGAGAAATGACTAAGGAAAAAGGGAATTTCGTGTTTATAATACACATGGCAAGGACATGGTCCTAAAGGAACAATGAAATGAAAACACCTGGCTCAGGTAGGCGAATCTACGGTACGCGTGGTAAAGGTGAAACGTACAAAAATTTTACCGATTACATCATTTTATATGTTCATAAATTATTCCGGCTTTTTTTAGTTATTATAATATGTAGTAGTAAATTTTATTTCCTGAAATGAATTTTATAAAACATAGTTTAAGAAATAGAATAATTGATGCATCTAGTTCGGCATGGGTATCCAATGTATAACAGCAAAAATCTAATTAATAAATAATTGATATTGATTTTCATACGACGAAGTTTACACCAAATTCTATGTTAATTTTCAGAATTGTATTGATAAAATTCTGGAGTAATTCATTTCTAATTACATTTTTATCTTATCCAAAATTACCCGGCAGGTCAGTGAGTCACTAAATATTGTTTATAAATTTTTGGCACTCGCACAAAAAAGGTTCGCCACCACTACTCTAGTGCATTGTAATTAACGATTACAAAATTAGTAGTAGCTCAGTAGTTACAACTTATAACATACAGCTAATAAAAACAATAGTCCCTGTTCCCTAAATATACATATAAAGTTTATAATATAAACATTATCGTTCGAATAATTCAGAATTTTTCTTTCCTTTGTAAAAATCAAAAGTGTACCTTCCTTCGAAAGGAAACTAGGAAGAAGGTTCACAAAGTCCCATCACGTGTGGTTTTGTAATTCTAACTGTCCGAATTTCTAAACGATTTTGTCTCGACCGATTTTACCTGCCAAGTCGGGCATCGACGCATCGGCGATCGTATCGTTACTGGCCTAAATCTATTTTTCTTGCGCAATTCTTTTCGCCGATACACAATCGCGACGGAACACAGCGAACGCATTATCGTTTGCATTAATATGCAAATATTATAATCGCCGTATATTCACGCGGTAGCTTGTCACTTCGAGCGCTCGATATTACACCGTCTCTGTTAAAAATCTGTACATAAAACGAAGCATGTAATAATTGTCTGTCGACGCTACTATTGTTTCGAAACGGTAATCTTTGCGTGTGTGTTTGAGTTACGGTCAGATTCTTACATAATTCTGCTTGATATACCAGCCATCGACTGCTTAGAAAGTAACGCATCGTTATCCGATTTCATTGCGGATTAAAAACCACTTGATAAAATTATACCTGTGTACACGAAAGTGTGTCTCCGATTAATTGCAATCATTTAAAAAACAACAGCTGCAGCTTAAAACATTCCAGCAAGATTGTTCGTCCCCATAAGGAAAATATCCTTCGATCGATAAATAACAGCATACGCGCAAAAATACATTCATTTGTGCGTTTTTATTCGTTGTTATCAACAAATGAATGGATTTCAAACTCACGGGCGTCGGACTGTCCAATCATAATAACAAAGTCATTGTGTCTCGTTGATACCTATGTATTCATATGTCACTGTCGTCGGCGAAGTCATTCCTCGAGGATCATTAACAACCAAAGACAATTCTTCAACTGAATATATAAAACGCACGAACAATATATTTCAATCAAGCTACTCTGGCCCTGCATGACATAGCATAGCAGCAAGTCACAATTCTTCATTCGGAATGTTCACGGATCATCGTCTGCACTTCGATATGTTGGGCAGCGGTTTGTTCTTGCAATTTTTCATCCAACGGTCCCACGACTTGAAACCTTCTCGATCCATGATCATGTTCGCGCAAACGATGTCGTCCTGAATATTGTCGTTCGCGAAATCCTCGCAGCGTTTGTTGCAGATGCCACCCGAATGCCCTCTGGAGCACCATTTGGCGCTGTTGATCTGGAAGATCCCGAAACTGAAACTGGAGGCACTCTTCGGCCCGGTGACCAGCGAAGTGTTCATGCCACTTTCGTTCTGCATCAAGCAGATCCAACTGCTGATGTAGGTCCTAGAGGTGCCAGCTCGTTGGAGCTCGTGCATGGCCTCGCAATGCGTCAGAATTCTTCCGTCCACGTGGACGTCCACCATCATCATGGCCGACACGATCAACCAAAGTCTCAAGCGTACCTTCATCTCGATGATCTCCAAGTGTTGACTGATCTTACAACGTTATTTCACTACCAAGTGTTTGATACCAACCGCGCCGAGTATTCACGATTAAATGTGACGCGTCTTGGCTCTTCGGTTTGCGTCGGCGACGACGACGCACTGCTGGCGAACGCTATGCGATAACCTTGAGCTTGAACGACGAATTATCATATACCAAGCGGCTGGAATGAAGTCTGACAACACGAGTTTGTACGATTCTTTTTTGACTCCGGTTTTCCTGAATGTATACGTGTCCTTTATATTCGGCAGAGTTACCTGATTTTATTCTTTCTTATAGGTTACTAAAGGATAGCCAACATTTGCGACGTTCCGTGAAGGGGAAAATAAACAACTCGGATGAGCCGCTACCTTCCACGGAAAATAATAACGCTTCGTTAAATAACATGGAGTTGGAAGCGGCTGCGATCGCCGTTGGTATCTGATTCGAGAATCTTGCAATTCATGCTAGCTGGAAGCGACAATTTTGTTTGAGATGGGATCGCGACGAATTTCTAATCGTTCCTTCTTTGACATGGAACATTATTACACAAATTATCGGTCTGGATTAGGTCTGGATGATTTATGGAAGAAGAGGTTAACACTATATACTTTAAACAACTGTAGAATCAACAATTTAAAAAATTTTCCAAAATCCTTCGAGATACGTTTAAATATCACTAAAGACTATAACATATCCAAGTGTCAACAAAATCCGAAATGTTACTCCAAGAGGTGTCCGATCTCCCTTGGAATGACCAATAATTTCCAATAAGTTCGCGTAATTTTAGCATTCAGAAGAGCGTAAAAACAGGCATTAATTTCAATGAAAAAAAGTAAAGTATATTTCATTTAAATATATGCAAATATACATAGATATAGACACGTCTCTATATTTCTGTCATGGATATTGCTGAACTGTCGGCGTACATACCACGTTCCTTTTGATCCTTAAACTTATGGATATTCCGTATACAAATGAACCGTTTCGAAAATCTGCAGGCACAACCAGAATCACGTTCCTTGGTGTCTTCTTCATTAAAAGCAACCGCGGATGTTCGGCAGAGGTTTGTTCCTGCACTTCTTCAGCCATCCGTTCCAAGCGTTGAATCCCCCTTCCTTGTAGATTATCTTGGCGCAAACGATGTCGTCCTGGATGTCGTCGTTCGCGAAGAGCTCGCAGCGTTTGTTGCACAAACCACCTGCGTGTCCTCTGGCGCACCACTTGGCGCTATTGATCTGAAAAATCCCGTAGCTGTAGCTAGAAGCTGTCTTCGGTCCAGTGATCAGCTGAGTGTTCAGACCGCTCTCGTTCTCCATCAGACAGATCCAGTTGCTGATCAGGCTTCTCGAGATCTTATGACGTTGCAGCTCTCGTACGGCATCGCACTTTGTTAGGATCTTCGCCTTTGTAGGAGTGTTTATAGCCAAGAGTATCAGGCCCAATAGTACGAAGTAGAATCTCATTTTTATTTTGGATCGTTCCACTTGGTCAGACTTGATGAACGTAGCAGCGATCACACCGACAAATCACGATGAAACGTGAGACCAGTTGCTTCATCGACGCCCGACGCATTTATGGCAAACGATATACGCAGACCTTGAGCTTGGGCGGTGAATAATAATTTCCTATGCGTCGTATTGTAGAAAGTATAGAACGTTCGCATTCAGACTCTCAGCTTAAGTCGTAAGTACTATACAATAGACAGAAGACAATAGAATTGTGTGGATATAAATTCTTCGCTTTAGTGTCGGTTAGAAATCATTTGTTGAGAATTTGTACACTTCGTTCATCTCGGTGTCGGGGATACTCCTGAAAGGTAAGTCGAGAAACGATGCTACGGAAAGATTCACGAGATATCGGATAATTGCAATCTTGGATTAATTGGCAGGTTTCGACATAATCCTTAAAGGGACCTTGAACAGAACCTTATAAGTTACGGGCACTTTCTACTGCGAAAAATATAGGCAGCATCGTGGAGCGTCCGCTTGAAAATGAGAAATCGGGTAGATTTATTAAGTATACCTGTAAATAATCAGGTGTCATGGGTGTAGCCAGAGGGGGGCAGGTGGAACACTTGTCCCTCCCCCTGGACAGAAAAAAATGGATTTTGCACTACTTTAAAAGAAAAAAATTTGACTTTGCACCCGTCCTAGGGAAGTCATTTGTTTCTGGACGTGGCAATTGACGCAACGTGATTATTTAATAGAGAAATTTTATTTGGAATTTCGATGAAATGTCGAAGCATCTTAGCGAGCGCGAATTGCATAAATGATTATGCAAGTGATGATAGGTTGTTGCTCGTCGGATTTTTATAACTGGTCACATGTAGGTACAAATACGATAAAATAGGCAGTACGTAAAATTCACAAATAAAAATCTATACAAGGCACGATAATATCACATGTACTTACACAACTGATTCAGTAGAACGTTCTTAGGAGTATTGGCATTCTTCGTCTCGAGTTACACATTCATAGATATTTCTCGCGTGTGAACGTATAGTAACTTTGATACCGATTTTACAATTCTCCAGAACTAGAGACACCGTAAGAAGAAACGAATGTATATGTATATATAATTACAATATGTAAAAAATAATAATGTACTTTCCATCCCATGGAGGAAAATTATTCGACGTTGGTATTTATACACTAATAACAAATGAAAAAGCAGTGCATGACACATTCTCGACGTGAATAATGCCAACATTTCTTAAGTAACATCCAAGGTGTTAACAAAAATAATAAATATTAACACCCTGTATGCTAATGATTACATGTTTTCAACTTACATTCTTACGAGGCTAGCATAATTATTCGAAGACTTAATATTCGTTTCGTTAAATACATTTCATTTAACGATTAAATTAAATCTCGGTGCTCGCGTTCTGTTTTATCGATAAAGGAAAGCTTCCATTACTGAACGATATCCAACTTATACGGCAATGGCTTTGGTGAATTAATGTCGATTCTAAATATCCAGTAATTAAACGTCGTTACTACGTAAAAATAACCACATAATTAGTCCGTGTATTTACAAAATTTTCTATCTATAAAACGTTCTGGCACCACATCAGTCGCAAACGCGTTCTCTTCCTTAACAACAGAGTAATCGTAACGATTATCATTCTTCAACCGGCAGTACTTGTCAAGTTAGCTCTCTTAGCTTTAGCGAATCGCAGAATATCTGGATTCTCGTAGATCATTTTGGCTAGTGTTTCCTGTCCAGCGTAAGTGTCAGCCTTCGTTCCCATGCACATGGACAGCTGAACGTTCGAGAGATCTTTGCTGCACTCCACGTCGTGATAAATATGAACCAGATTCTTGTCAGCTGCCCTGAAGATCTTCATGTTGGATTTAACAACCCTCTCGAAGAAGTCCACGTCTTCTTTTCCCCATCCTTCGATGGACAAATCGAAACCACCGACGTCTTCGTAATCCTGTTTGTACAATGAAACGATCCCGAAACCGAATTGTCTCCAGTAACCGGAAGATTCGTCGACGTTGAACGTGTCCTCCCATTTTTTCTCGCTTTTCCCAATGATCCGTGGACTGTACTGGCTGAACACCACCGGGAAATATATCTGTCTACCTAAAAGCGTGTTCGACTGTATCCTATACAGAGCGGACTCGGTGAATACGATATCGACGTCGACGAAGAACATTAAGTCGTCGCTCTTCAGCCTCGAAGCACCCAGATCAAGGGCCCTTGCCCTGGAAAACGTGCCCGAGACTGGAAGCGTATCTATACTCGCGCTACGATACTTGTACTTCAATTGTTCGATCAGATCTATCGTTCGATTGAACGAATTCTCTCCGTCACGACGATACAAAACGACCAACAAAGCAGTCTTTTCGTCGCTGGTTAGACAGATCTCCTCGTAATTTTGTAGGAACCTTTGGAAAACCTCGTATCTTCCCGACAGAGGTAAAATGAAATTGATGGTCTTGCTCCTGACTGGGTCCTCTTCGTCCTCGGAGTTGAAATTCAGGTTCAGGAAACCACCGCGGAATAGATTTTGCAGGGATTTGTCGTTTTCTCGTCTGTCCTGTTCGACTTCCTTTCCGTTCACTGTTTCCCGTATTTCCAGTCCTAGAAGTGGGAAAAATTGTGATTTTTTTTTTCTTGTTTTCTTTAAACGTCGCGTTCGTTTTTTGGCGTGGATAATTTCTAGAAACGCGGAGTGATCGTTTAAAATATACATAAAAGGTACCGGTGAAGTGCTGATGGAGATAAACGTGTCTTCGGACGGGCAACGTAACCTTTCTGCCTCTGTACTTCCGGTACACCAGCAGAAGATCCAGTATCGTGTCGGCGCCATAAGAATCCACCCGTCTGTAACCGTATAGGGCTGACCTTTCCTCGACGACTCTACCACGTTGCCGCGAACATGCGTTTATAGAGGCCATCACTTCGCGGGTGATGTCTTCCAGACCCTCTTTTATGTCGCTGTGAATCCGTCGCCTGGGATTCGAGTCAGCTAAACTGTACTCCGACCTCGAGAGAAAATCCCAGGTGATTACGTCGTTGTTGGTCGTTGGTTTGAACGATTGCAAACCAGCTGGAACACCTGCGAAAATTAATTGGAATTCTTTTAATCAGTCGTTTCAGTCGTTGTGTCTACAATAAATCATCGATGTGTTCTAACGCTTCTCTACATTGCCAAGAAGAGGTCCACAGGTGTAACGCTGACTTTTTAATGAGGTTTAGGACAGCGATAGAGTTTGGAATTCTGATGTCAATAATATTTGTGTCAGCCCCATATGACCATTAGTTTATGAAATATTTAATGTTCAGTGCTGAGGAGCCTTCGAACACTCATCGAGGATCTACTGTATTCAACTAAGATTCGTAATGGTCGCGAACGAGTTTGAATTCCTCGCGTCGTACGATCGCGGATATAACACTGGAACTGCACTTGATGCGTTGATCGTATCGTTAAACGAGCAGGAACGGACTCTAACTGCAGAAAATGGAAATGAGACGAATCATGGTCGAAATACCGATCGTTCGCGGCTGATAGGCTGAAACGAATCGTGTGTCGTGCCTCGTTTCAGCATCGCGGCGTGTCGGTCCGGTGATCAATTCGCACGAACCAATCATCTTAAGTGGCTCTATTAATAACGCACATCCACGGAAACGCGATTGTTCTTGAAATACGAACGGTCTGAATGACTCGCAGACGTCTGCGTGATTCGAGACCACTTCGCAAGGACGCGGTTAACTGATCGGACCTTTCAAGTGTATCGTCAAACGGGACGACAAACTATCAAATTCTGTCGATTTCATCGGTAATTGTTCACCTAATATTTCCGTGTCACCGGGATATTCTTTCGAATGTGGATCGATGGGAAACAGAGGAACGCCCTTCGCTATCTCGAAATTTCTTATATTTTCGACGTTGATTCCCAACTGTTTCGCCATCGTGTAGATGTCTCTGTGCAGATTCAGTCGTTCCTGCTGCAGATCCTGTATACGAAGTCCCTGAAACGGAAATCGAATCTCTTTCATCATCGAGAGAAATGATTACAGGTAAGGTTACGCGATCGTATACGAACCCTCATGTAATTGTGCAGCCTGTACATGTGTGGCGGGCTTTTAACAGGATGCAAAGTAATGGCTCGGTGTACTTCTTTTTTCTTCAAGTTTCCGGTGAACGCCAGTGCACCGCTGCTGTTATGGTACAAAATGGACTGCATCTGTAACAACGTGAGCATCCAATATCGTCAGCTGAAGATTAAGGGAACAGGCTGTTGCGCAAATCCATTCCGTCGGGTCTTCTAATCTCGTGAACCTTGGGTGTTGGAAGCTTCGATAGAAAATTATATCGCCGAATTTTCTACGCAATACTTTTCCGCGACAGAACGTTTTGAGTCGTAGAATGAATGTATACGAGCGAGCCTTGACAGATGACAATTAATGCAAACAGAATCGGAGTTAAGGTTAAAGTATGAACTTCCTGCGGGTTATGACCGATAATAATTATTATCAAGAATACTTATAGCCGCATCTTGCACCGGGACCCGCGGAACGGGTGTTAATCAAGCTGCGAGACTGGGTGTGGTGGTCTCCAGTTACGCAGAATTATTCTAGTGTTACCATCTAGGTTGATTTGCTCGTGTTCCATGACCATTTGCTTCAGTGGTTCCTCTTTTGCAATTTACATTCATACAACTTACGATCGAGAACGTATATTTCGACATTTGCAGAAATCGACCAGGTGTAAGATTAAAATTGTTAAAATTGTACAAACATTGCCACGTATACAGGCGACAGAAGTTTCCATTGAGTTGTAATTGAATAGAAGAATCGTGAATCCGTTGTCGTAAACCGAACACGTCCCGATCAATCAATCGGCCGACAGCGTGGACGTGTAAAATGTCTAGAACAAACACTTTGTAGCTATTGCAATGTCGTACCACAGGATATTAAGTGTTTCGACCTTACGTCGAGTGTCAAGACGTGTATGAATGGGCTGGCAGTAGGTTAGCAGGGTACGATTTGTTCGTATCTAACGAGTAACATCCTCATCCGTGCGTTTTACCTTTCAAGCGGAGTCGTTTCAATGCGATCTATGCCGATAATCTCTAGTAGCGAAATCTTATTTTCACCAATAATGCAAAGAGTCTGTTATTCTTGATTGTCACTCACGCAATGTGTCTACTTTTTTTTTTTGTGTTTTTCTCGTTTTATTAGGATTTCCTCAATCCACAGCAATCCTTTTTATTGGATCGTGTTTCGGGCAAAATTTGTCCACGACGAATGTGACATAATAAACGGGGCGTAACGTCGAGGCAGCATTGAGCGCAATCGTGCAGTTCGATTAAATTATTCCAAGGAGGACTAACGTGGATTCAAGTAATTCGTGCTGCAAATTGTTACTTAACCGCAAACACCGCCGGTGCCTAACGCCGAGTGTCAAGATGGAGGAGAATGACTCGATTTGGCCACTGGGTTAGCAGGGTACTATTCGCTTGTACTTAACGACTAACATCCTCATCTGTGCATTGTACCTTCCGAGTTAACCCAATGATAGCGTACCCTGTATATGATGCAGATGCGTAGCTTATGTATTTAAACCTGTAATACGTATGGAGCGTGTTCCAGCCCTCTGTAACAGTTCCACTGCCTGGGAGGTAATTACCTAAATTATTTTAATTCGACAATCGATAAATAAATTCGATAGACGGTACAATGGAAACACGGAAACATCCTTGGAAAAGATCGCTAAATTGAGCAAGATTGTTCGCTTGGAAAAGCCAGAATTTCGCAGTGAGTCACCGTTACATCGTAAAGGGGGATTCCACTGATGCTTAACTCATCAGGTAACACTTACGTATGGAAAGCGGTTACCCATGTATGCGTTAGATTCTGTGGGATAGCCCGTCGTTCTAATGAACTCAGAGTCTGTGTCGATCAACAAATTACACGTGTCACGTACATATGTACGTTCACGTCTATAGTGTGTGCACGTGGAGGGAGAGAGAGAAGAAAGGAGGACGACCGAAAATAGATTTAATGTTATGTGAACAGCAGCGAAGCGCGTGAGGTCGCTGGACAACTCGCCCGGGGACATTGAAATAAATTTTACGACAGTGGAATTCAGGCGAAGCGAACGTTCGAAAGAACATGTATATATATATACCTCGTAGCTCCAGGTGCAAGGTATACCGGCGTACTTCTGCACGCATCTGCCCAATTCGACGTCCTCATGAGTGGTGTACAAATGTCTCAGGCAATACTTGATGTGCGGCACGATTCTCCTCAAGGTCTCTCTGGAGAGTATAACACCAGGTCCGCCCATACAAAAATTCTCGTCGTACTCCAAGGACAGCAAGCCAAATTCCTCGGAGTTCCCTCTGCCAGCCTGGCCGATGTACATGGCCCTCCTGGAGTTCACGGACCGGAGAAGCTGCTCCAGACGATCTGTCCTTACATATACGTCATCATCCGCCCTCAGGAACCATTCAAAACGATCCCCGTAATTGTTCCACATGTATTGCAGCATCATGAACGATTTCTTCTGTGGTGGATAAGTGTCGTCCACACGTGGCAATGGCACCAACGGCAGGTCAGGACAGTTCTCTGGCACAATGGAACTTTCGGATGAGAAGAAGGCGATTTTACCGGGAAGATCTTTACCCCAGGTCTCGTAGACGGCTTTCGCTCTAGTGTCAAGATATTTTCCAGCTGTCATCACACCTACGAACACCAGACCCGTCGTGGAACTACTGTTCGTTTGATCGTCTTCGTTCAGATTCGGAACGTTTCGTGTTAATGGTTTCACCAGCACATGGGGCCCAGGCATCGAGGACGAGTATATATTGTACCGTTCCTGATGGCTGGACGAGAGTATCCGATAACTTTGGATGAGAAATCCTAGAAGTAGGCCCACGATCAGGCCCAGAACGGCGCTGGCCAATCCGCGTCGTTTACGCATCACTGAATGATACGTCACCTCTTCCATTGATACTCTTCAGGAGTCCCTGGACCTACCGCTGGGTTCATCGTCATCTTTCTAGCGCTCGCCGACGTTTTCCTTAATGATTTCAATGTGCTAATTAGGGTAATTGTTGGCAATCCGACCGACGATCCCATTGCTTCTCGCGTCTGCACCGAGCACGGACTCCGCTCAGACCTGTCGATCAAACATTTTATCGCTTCAGAAATATTTTGGTTTCGGTGTTTGGTAGTCGTAAGGTATTTCGGTATTGAGTGTATTAATACTCGAAAGGTTCTACGATTATTTTCTGTCAATGTCCAGCGGGACCTTGGTCCACGTTTATCCGTCATTTGACGAACAAAGTTTGACTGTATGCTTTTCACCGTTCTCGGCGTGGCTTACAAAGGAATCGTTGTTTGCCTAGTCATTCACTTTTACGGTTGAATCGAGAGGGAATTTATCATACGCAAATTGAACGAGACTCGCCGGATTTTATTCAGAACAGTGTAAACTTAGTATGATGACGTGACGAAGAATATTGATCGTCTGTAACTCACATCGAATCCTTTCGTTAATTCCGTCGAGTGCGTTTTGCTGACCTCCCTGAACACTGCAGAAGTTTCGGAATAGCTGACGGATCGTCGGTCCATGTTAATCTGTAAGGAACACAGAGAACTGTTTGATAACGAGGCAAAGCTCGCGATCGATGATTCGCGGACAAAAATTGATACGATCAATATGTAACAAGTGCCTATTCCAAAGATTGAGGTCACACACGTGCTAAGATGACAAGAGTCGAACGTACGTCAGCGATTAATGCTCGGTGAGAATATTTTTTTCTGTCTTCTGTTCTAATCATCGCTGCCTTTTGGTTTATTATTTCGTAACCACTCGCGAACACCGTATCAACGAATTGTTATGGTAATTTGTATTCACTCGCCGTTTGAATATCGACAGCGTATGGTCCGACGAGACAATTATCGATCACGATGATAGAATCAAAATGTTCAACTGGTCGATTGATGAAAAATTATGTGTTCGATTGGATCTATTGTACGCTACAGTCATTTGGCCCATTGTTTTGATGATTCTTCTTTATTTTATGCAATTTCGTCCGAGTACTGGTATGAATGCGAACGATAAAATGACTGTACACCTCTAGAAACTCCCAGGATATAACGAATACAATGGTATATCCATAAATAAGAACTCAACGCCGTTATAAGACGTTCTCAGTGAATTAACGGCGTTCCGTTGTTTTCGTGAACTGTACATATATGGAGGAATGCATATTCCACGTGCCACTAAGCAAATTTCAGTGTTCTTTACCTCTCGAACGATACCACGGATTCTTGGCGCAAGTTTTCTTGTTGCACGTTACGAGAAGCTATTGAAATATCTTCTGCTTTACGGTTATAACGACACCGTAAGCAGCTAATAGAAAAATGTTATTGAAACCTGTCGCGACGCTGTCTCTCTCTCGTGACAATGCTAGAAAGGGACTGGTCCCTTGAGATGTCTCCTAGCCGGTTGGACCGAAATGTATTCCCCAAATCGGCGTAGACAAAGAATTGTCCCCTGGCGAAACCGGTTTCCAGGCATACTGATATGCATATCCGAATGCGGGCAGTTTATTGAATTTCGGTAGACGTGACAAATCTTTCTGCTAGCAGAGAAATCAAAGATAAAGAAATCATTTGTCGAGTGAGAAAGGTTAATAATGATTCACTGAATGAACCTGACCAGCATGCGTAAAAGATAATTCCAGTTGCATCGTGTAAAGGCTTTCCCGTTATCTGCAAATTGATTATTCGTTAAATGCAGTGTCGCTGATGGTCATCGTCGATTGTCTCTAATCCCTAACCGTACATTCGTTTCCGTTCTCACAATCACTCCACAATTACACACGGAGAGAAAAGTGGAGATTCCGTTAACGATTCTCGACTTAATACGGATCATCTTTAATTTAAAGAAACGTACAGCAAAGAACGATATACGCAAAATTCAATGTGCGTTACCGTCTTTAATCTTATCTGTGCGAGAAAAGATACCAGAGAAATACGTATGTATGTACTCCATTTCGGTGATAATTTTAAAAATAACGTCAAGTCTCAGGCCTATATTTCGTAATTCCCATTTCAATCCTGCGAACATCGCAAAGAAACGCGAAAAATTGCTTGGTTGTCTGAGAGAATCGCTTCGATACCGTTAGACATGTTCCATGAATCGATATCAGCCGCAGACGACGATCGTGTTGACAATTGGCGATTACACGGCTCGAATCCACGAAATCCCGGTGTTCGTCCCGTTAAAGGATACAATACGAAGTGACGTGCCCTAGCGTGGACGTGCACGAAAGGCGGGAGAACCGGTTTAAGCCGAAAGTCAGCTTTAGATCACTAGACTAGTTCGTAAGGCGTCTCTACGGCACAACGTCTAGTTCATTATGGTGAAGAAGACGAGGACGAATTCGGGATAATGAGTTATTCGATTCGAAGAAAGACTTTCGTCGACTCGTTGGAACTTCTAAATGAACTTTCGAGTGCTTCGGAAGAGAAGCTATTCTTCTACATTCAAAATGGATCGAACACTTCATCGAACATAACGGAGTAACTCGAGAGCCAAGAAGACCTTGCTGTTAATTTAAATTATAACTGCACACGTGATGAAATTTGTGCACACCTTGAGGCGACCGAGGACAAAGTAGTGGTCCGCATAGAAACACATTGCGGTCAGGTTCTTGTCGACTCGCGTTAGCCGTTCGAACGATCGTATTTTCAAAAGACTGACCTGACCGGCCTACTCAGCCATTTAGAAGGCTGTTACGAGGAACGGGGTCTCTCCGTTAATTGTTCCCACAGACATCGAGACCGAGCTGGATCGTCGGAGCAAAGACACGTTACCGACCAGATTTGTCATGGTCGTGACTGGACTGGAAGACAGGCGGCTGTTCAATCAACCGGTAGAAGTCTCGAAGAGTCATCGACTTTTCACGTTCCACCGCGATAATGACGAAAGGCTTACGGGTTCATGGAACGATCCCCCTATTCACGGCTGAACAATCTCATTACATGCTGTCCAAACAAATATCCTTTGTATATTCCTCTTTCGCCTCCGATTTATTACCACGGAAGCACTTACTTACGCACTTCAGTTCGTAAAACGAAAAGTTTCGAATTTCTTCGCATTGATTACAAAATCCCATCTCCATAATCGGGAGTAACTCTTTCATCCACCCACGAGTATTTCTCACTGTTACACAGAAAAAACAAAAGAACCTTCGATCGTTTCGATGCGCGTAACAACTTTTCGCGATTTCAATTACGAACGAACGTAAGGGAAGAAATATAGATCTCCTCGTCACTGAAACCACATTCGATGTGCACCTGGGACTTACTTCGATTCTTGATCCTCTCGATTCGGCGTGTACACGTGGGTCTCTTCTAGCTGGCGCCGAAAAAAACCGAGTTACGGCACCGTCGTATCCGTCGCGAGCATGATCGAGATCGTAAACGAGAAGATGATGAGAGAAACGTGGATGAGAGTTAGATCGCGGTGGCACCCGGCCGTGGACGTGTTGCGAGCAGGATGTCGGGACGGCGACTGAACGAGAAGAGACCGAGCCGGCTAGTAGTCAGCCAGCCGGGGCTAGCATTCAGGCAGCAAGCAGTCATCGGGTCGGAGAGGCCAGCCGGCCCGATCAGCTCGCCGTGGTATACTAACAGAGCTTTTTCAACGGGGACGCGACGATACTTTTCTTTTGCGTAATGCTCCTAACCTCGGCAACCTCCGATTCGACCCTTTTCTGGCTCCGTGTGTAAGTATATACAAGCCACGGTCGTGTTTGGTGACTGGATTCCTCGGATGCACATTACGAACAGAAAGGGGAAGAAAAATTACGTAAGAACCTCTGGGTATCCCCTGAACGGGTTTCTCGGTGGTGTTTTTCTTTTTTTTATTTTGTTTCTAAATACGTCTGGAATCTCGGCAGATGGATATTATCTTGGGCTGGCGCATAGGTACAGAGAACCGTGACACGAGGTGAACCGTAAAATCATTACCATACACTGGGTTTGTCGCGGAGTTGCAAGTCGAACAGTTCTACACTCTGGTCGGTCGGTAGCCGGTACGATTCTATTTTTATTGGACGAATAGATTATCGATATAGACCCGATTACCTAAATTTTGGAGCGGGTCGCGCGGTTGTAGGTGCATGAGGTCTATGTTTAGAACTCGTGACCCTCTAATAATATCCTTATCTATAGGAACGCTAAGTATCTCGAGAGGTGAGACGCGTCGGGGAAAAAGGGAACGCGTTTACTCCGTAAATGGGAGTTACTATCTAATTTAAAATTCACTCGCGGCGAATTCCAGTTGCTGTCTATAAAGAAGCGTAACTGTATGATTATCTTTGTTAATCGAAGCTGAGATTACCGTCCTGGCTTCCGTTTCAATAGCCACGCAAATACAGCTGATTGCCCGCGATTTCGTTATAATACGGTATTGTACCCCGCCTTTCTCGAGCGGCTGTGTTGATAGTCGCGCACACGTGTTTATTCGAGCAACACTGAGGAAATGCACGATGTGTACGCATAGGAATCTTGGTAGTGTATTGTATAACCCAGACGGGGACAATAAACGTGCAATAAAGACGTCGCGTGTGTGTACTTTAAAACGCTGCGAACAGAAACCTTGTTGAACGCTGGCTGGTAAGAACAGCCAAAGCTGACACACTATAGCCCAGCAGCGTCCGTAAAGCAGGAACTTCCGTCGAAATAGAAGTGAATTGAACTACCTTTACGCTTCGTGAATTTCATATTATCTCTCGTTTACCACGCTCGATCCTTGTTCGACCGGAACGATTGGATTAAGACACGAAGGAACGACGTAGGTGTGCTTTAAAAGTATAGGAAAGACAAACTGCATGTTCGCGGATCATCGACCTCAGACATGGGATTTTACACTTATTTTACAGGGAAACTATACTAAAACAACTTTGTCGGTATGAGTTGAATCAGAAGTATTTTAGAAAATATTTTCTGGGTAGTATGCCGTTACCTTAAAGTGAAATTGATTCATCTTGATGAATGGAACAGTCAACGGACCAAAGCGTGCTGGAGGCAGGGCTGGTTAAATAATTTTATTTTTAGATGCTCGTGGAAAACCATCGGCCGGAAAGGACGGAGAAGACAGACGTACAGATCCCTCGAATTCTACACATGTGATAGTTTTGGTTTAGGACATCTCTGTTACGATTCCACGCGAACGTGTCGGGTTCATGGGATTCCGGGAAGTTAGTGATCCCTAACAGCATATGGGAGAATAGAAGGATACAGAAACAAATGGCCAACGGACGTGGAAAATCGATTAGGAACAGCATCTCGTCGTTTATGGTTTAAGCATATTTAGACTTTGTTATATTTGGAGCCTAGGAAAATAACGTTAACTTTATTCTTTAATAATGAGTAATATTGAATAAAACATTTTTACTCCAACATTTCTTCAGAAATATTTGAGGAAAGTTTTCGACGAGCGTTTAATGGTACTGGTTTTATATTATCGCAGCTTTATCAGATAAGAGAACCGACGTCTGTGTGGTGTGGGTAACTTGAATGTAAAGGAACGAGTACTTATATGTAGACAATATTTAAAAATAAAAAATATGAACCGTTTATTTCATCATTTTGTATTTTTTTTGTTATTTGATGTACTTGTCAGCGCAAGTGTGATTTACACGCCATGTTTCTTTGATATTAATATCATTTCGACTTAGTATCTTGTTATCAATTTGAGCAAACTTTCTTAATTACATTTTACAGTAACAACGTATCAAATTACGAAGATTTAATGCTGGCAATCGTTCTGCATGACTGCCTTATGAAATTATTACCGATAGAAAGACTAATGCATTGCACAATGTGGTGTTTCTTATGCATTATGCAACGGTTAGAAGATTGCGTTCCATTTAAGAAGGAATTTTTTTATGTTTAAAAAGAAGAATACAAATTAATAATAAACATGAATCGTTTTAACTTGTAGACATAGTTGTTTCTTTGAGTAGAATAAAATGACAACTTTGTGATAACAGTGTACTCAAATCTTAGATGATTTAAATTTTGCCGCCAGTCTGAGATCAAAATGGCGGGAACAGCTATGTGACGACAGATCGTTGAACCCAGATGCACTACTGCATTCAACTAATATATTACTTCCCGTGGAATTTCCATTTATTTCTTAATATTACTTACAAAAAATTATTGTTGATTGCTTCATTGAGTGTTTATTTAAAGAATAAACTCATTGAAAATAAGTGATGCTTTCTTCAGGGCTGTATCAATAGGAGACTTATTAATTATACTCCAGAAATCGAAACGCGCGAAATATAAATTTGAATAATAATCCATCCCTTACTAATAAAAGTAGAGACTATTTTCCTTTAAATATATGCATTTTAAGTATAATAGACTAAAATTGCGTAGTTTCTATAGATTTTATTAAAAATTAAAAGTATGAAATCGTAATTTACCATTTTCTCAGAGGGCGTAGAGTTTCTCAAGCGCCGCACCTGAGGCGCGATGGCCAACGGTTGCTGATTTGACTAGGCAGTCGGCGGAAGTGACGCGTTTGCTTCGTTACGTTTACATTCTGTTCTCGACGTCGCGTTCATTGTGGGGAGCCATTATCCTCGTCCGCGCTAAGCATCGTGCCATATTCCCATTTGCGCCCTAATACTAACAACATTCTCGTAGTTTTAAGTGAAATATTATGAGAGTGAAGACCGAAATGGACGACGACGAAAAGGGGTGAGTAGAAATTCTGAGTTCACGATCATTTATCCACGCGAGAACGTTCGGTCGGGACGCGTTCACGGGCCGTCGGGTTTATTGCGTGGGATCTCCATTTGCGTATTGCAGTCGTATCGAATCTCTTTCTTCTTTCTTGATATACGACTGATCTTGAGCTAAATTGCTTATCTCCACGACATACGTCATCGAGCCTCGCGATTTCCTCGATACGCGAGGCCAATATTTTTTTTTCCGCCACGGTGGAACGAGCGGCTCCGATGTAGCTTTTCTCGCGAGGGGGGAAATACTTCACCGATGCCGGTTCTTCGCACAGTGCTCCTTTCTTTCACCCGGCACCTTCGATCCGGCGAATACTATTCTCATTTCGAGAAAAGCTGTACGTATTCCAATAATTGTTGCTCGTTATATCCTTTACCTTCCAATACCCTGCTGCATCGTCGCCCGTTACATCCTTTACCTCTAGATACCCTATTTTTATGCTCTATATCCTGAAAGAACAGATATCATTTTGGTACTGTTTCGCTACGTGATTCGTTCTCATACACACTCGAGTGAATGCAAATATCACTAGTGTTTCGCGTAAGCGGTTTATTAAACTACATGTTTTAGGTATATTTTAATTATGTTAGATGAAAAATGCTATAATAATCTGTACCGTGGAAGTACAGGATACATCGTGTTATTAATGTAATGTCTGTCAAGCGGGCAGAATATTGATGAATTGTTTTGAATGTTTCACCGTTCAGCGAATATGGATTACGTATTTTTGTTATAGATAAAACGTAATTGATTTACGTGCATATATTTTCTTTTCATGTAATTACATGTTAACTCTCATGTGTATTGATTTTTGTATTTTCTCAATATTATTTTTGTCAGATGCTATTTAAAACTAATTTTTATTTAACTACATTTTTTATGGAATATTCTTGCATATAGTCATTCCAATCATTATAGAGTAACTATTTGTGTTCATATATCTATTTTAGTTGAATTTGTTGGTATACTTTGCAAGATAAATATCAATTATGTAATAGTTCATTTACTTATATTAACCATCATTGTTTACTCTTTGTTGTTACAGAAAGTTGTTTGTTGGTGGTTTGTCCTGGGAGACAACACAAGAAAATCTTCAACGCTACTTTGGCCGTTATGGCGAAGTAATTGACTGCGTTGTTATGAAAAACAGTGAATCCGGTCGTAGCCGGGGTTTTGGATTTGTAACATTTAGTGATCCTGCTAATGTCCCTTTGGTTCTTCAAAATGGACCACATCAGCTTGATGGGCGTACTGTAAGTATTGTTCTTTGAGTGAAATTCTTAAAGTATAAAAGAATCCGTGATATAAGATAATAAAAGTAGTTAATACATGGATTTGTTTTATGTTCTTGTTACAGATTGACCCAAAACCCTGTAATCCACGTACTCAGCAGAAGCCAAAACGTAGTGGAGGCTTCCCAAAAGTTTTCCTTGGTGGATTACCAAGTAACGTGACGGAGACTGACTTGAGGTCCTTCTTTACTCGCTTTGGCAAGGTTATGGAAGTTGTCATAATGTATGACCAAGAAAAAAAGAAATCCAGAGGTGAGTACCTATGACAATTATTTTTATGTATAAATATATATAGTACCATTGTTTTATGTAGTTTCCATATTAACTGAACTGTATAGTTAATTCATTGAAAAATATGTATGCAAAAGAATTTTTTATATTTTTTTTTAACTATTTTGGAAACTACGGGAGACAATGCATCATAAGTAGAGTGTAGAGTACTCTTGTTATCTTTTTTATTGCGTGACCAGGATTACAGTCAGAATTCTTGAAATAAATGATTCTTTATGCAAAGTTCATTATTGCGCAAAAATGTGTGTATTAAAAAAAAAAGAATATTGTGTGTTAACCAAAAAATGTTACTTCCTACATAAAAAAAATCAAAAATTCTGACTTGAATGCAGCACACCCATTTTAAGTACAATTTCAAAATTTTATCCAGTTTTTAATAAAAATATTAAATATAAATATTAGGATTAGCGAATAATTACAAATTGAAGACATTTCTATGCTTAAGCCAGTCAATAATAAATGGTCATTGAACTTCCCCTGCTTCATTACCCTTTTTTTAAATGACCCTGCTCTTGCTTCCTTCAATAATTATAATTAATACATCCTGATTCATACCCTTCTTGATTAATATTGTTTGTTTTTGACATATATATTTATGGAATACTTTAAGGTCCTATCCACAAACTGAAAGTTATATGCATTATATATATATAGTTATTTATGTAGTGTTTTTATTCTATTTTGCTACTGTTAATAATTCGCCTTGTCTTACCTTAAAACGGAAATATTAAGATAATTTATGTTACATTAAAGTACATTAAATATATTTACACATAATGTGATTTTGGCTAAGTTTTATTAAGAATAGGTTATTAAGTACATAAGTTAAATGTACATAACATAAGTTGAAATTAAGCTATTAGTAAGATGTGTTGTATATCCTATTTTTTATTAAATATTATCCACTTACTATCTTGTCCACTGAATAATAGGATCAAATTACTTATAATTATTATTAACCGGCATATGTTATATAAAAAATTAATCTTAAATATTAGTATACAATTTATGACTAAATACATTAGGGTATCATTAATATCTATGGCTTCTTAGTATAGAATAATTTTTGTCTTAACATTGGTGTCCTTGTGGTTAAACATTTAGTAAATATGAAAACAGTTATATCTTTCTTTCTTCTTTAAATATTTATTCATTTTTGGTGGCTGCATTCAAGAAGTTAGTGTGTTTTATAACTTCCAGTGAATACCTCTGTACATATCTTTTTTTTTTAAACAGTGTGGATTGTTTAGTCCATTAATATTCGAATGATAAAATTCGGAAAATATTTACTGCTTTGGTCATTAAAAGTGTATTGAAAAAGGCAGTATATGGCTTTTAAACCTTGCGGCGTTGGTTTTCATTTTAATCATTTTTTCGTTCGTGGTAATTGCAAAAGAAATATAATTGAAAACTTCTTCAAAACAGCCATCATAAATTTTTTAGATTAAGTATATTAAGCTTATGTGCACATAAGATGGATAGTAATAATAAGTGTTTACAAATTCTAGAAGATGCATGATTCAATCGATATTAAAATTGTAATACTATTTATACACTCAGATATATTCCAAATTAAGTCTAGACACTGTTACCATTAACATAGCAAAAATAATTACGTATAACGGACAGTCAAAAACAAATTGTATAAATTAGTTGTAACGTTCGTGAATATTTAAAGCGGGTATATAAAAAAAAGGTGGTGTATTTGTTGTGTAAATGTGTGGGGCAATTTTTGATATACTATCACGTTTGGACGGCAGGATTTGGCTTCCTCAGCTTCGAGGATGAAGATGCCGTGGAACGATGTGTAGCCGAGCATTTCGTCAACTTGAATGGAAAACAGGTATAGCATACCTACACACTAGCATATATTCATATACATATATATTCCTAGATTAATGTAATGTAAAATAATAATAAGTACAAAATGTTAGTATAAAATTTAATGTTATACTCTAGTCTTAAATATTAATGTTAGGTATAGTACTTATTTTATTTTACACTATTTTTTCGTACTATGTTATGCTAAACGACTGTACGCTTAACTGCTATTATGTAAGTATCAGTTTAAAAAATATATTTAGAATTTGTGTGTAAGACTTGGCGAGTTTTAAAAACTGCAATAATTGTAAAAGAGTAATCTATTAAGGCAACAATGGGAGTATTTTTAGTTCGATCAAAAACGGAATCCCACTGGATCGACTTCGTTAGTTACACAGTTACAAAAAATCTGATGCACATGACGGAATTTCTAGAATTCGTGTCGTATTTCTGGTTCCAGGTTGAAATCAAGCGTGCAGAACCACGTGATTCTGCTAGCAAAATGAACGATAGTCATCAGGGACAGTGGGGTCCACCGCAACCAGGCGGACCTCCAATGGGAATGGCCGGGAATATGGGACCTATGGGTGGTCCCAATGGACAAATGGGGGGACCTATGATGGGTGGTCCTATGGGACCACCTGGAAATATGATGCAGCAGTATCAGAATTGGGGCACCAGTCCACAGACGGGTGGATATGCCGGGTATACTACTCAGTACAACTCTCAGGGCTGGGGTGCACCTCCAGGACCTCCTCAGCAACAGCAAATTCCACCACCACCTCATCATCAATGGGGTAGCAGTTACAACGTTCAGCCGGCAGCAGCTACTCAAGGTTACGGCAGTTACGGTGAGTTTTTAAAACACGTTGCCATCTGATTTTTCATAATTTCTGTTCTAAACTGAATGATATTTGACTTCTTTAAAAGTTCAATTACTCTTAACGAATCGTAAATTTCGAATTGTAAACACGATATAGTTTCTGAAATTATGAATGGTAATTTCATTCATCGCGAAATTTTCTATAGCGACAATGTTTGGATTGAAACTGATCGTTGTTCATTTAATCACAAATTATTCTGTTTTGGTCGTATCTTATTTGTCGCGAGATTGTCGGCATCTCGTTACCGATTCCATTCGCGTATGCTTTTAAGGACAACACACGATAAGGTCATAGTTATAAAGATTAACAATAACTTTGATCCTGTCCTCTCCCCCTCCATCTTCCTTGGAGATGTTAGGAGAAGAAAGAGAAAGATAAGAACATGAGAAAACAAATACCTATAATACATGAATAATTATCTTCATTCGGTGCCCCCTGGAGGTTATATCATGGAAAGAGAATACAGTAGGACATTAATTCAGCATAAATTTCAGCTGAATATCGAAATTAATTGTATCAGTACAGACTCATTACTCGCTTGATATGTGTATTTTTTTTTTTTTAAATATCGCGTGTTCTCCAATGCTACAAATTACGTTTCAATTCAACATCGAATAATTTCTTTGTAATGTAATCATCTCGTCTCATTTGCGTAAATTGGAGCTCAATCGGTATTCCGTGGAAACATAAAATATCCTCCTTCACCTGGTTTGAATCAATGTAATGGACACTACATTCCGTAACATTGATCCTCATCTTATCCGTACAGCTTGTGCTTGATTTTCCGCCTTGAAAATCAAGCACAAACATCGAGTGAAAAGTGTAGGAACACATTTCATAAACAAAATTAACCCATTCAAGTGCCAAGACTGCAACGAACGAGCAAGCTTACATTCATCGAAAACATATACCATTTTCAGTGAATTTGCCTCCATTAACTCTAGAAAAAGAAAATGATCATTCCATTATGTACGATTTTCACATTTTTCAGAAGAGAAGATTCCGAGGTAAGTCTCTCACCGTTAGCGATCAGAAACGCTTTGGAACTCTGTTTGCTTAAAGTTCGCATCTTTTTTACAGCAATTGTTATATAATCACCGATAAAATGACGATCATGTCTGGTGTTTTAAAAATTTTGTCTCAAAAAACAAAGTCTCATTCAGCCCCATTTAAACACCGCTTATCGGTGCATGCTTGGCACTGAAGTGGTTGACCAAGTTAGGGTACGTTTACTTAGCTGCTGTGTTGCAGACCTTGTAAGAACTTCCCGATACTGGAAACCTTTAAAAGAAAAAAAAACATGGAACATTATGAATCTGTTCAGTAACAAATTACACAGAAATCAGAAATGGGCTAAAGCTTCTATACTCTTGCGTCATTCGGATAAATCAAAAGCCAAATCACTCGTGTGAATCTCTTTTACGGTTACGTACACACGGGCCATATCCCCCTCCCCTTTTGGAATATCAGCCCCCGTTTGGAGGGGTCTCGAGAATTGTTCTGCAACAGGAGAACGTTTCAGCGGAGTAAACGTAGCCTGGAAAATGCATAAGAAGACGACGGTGGTCGGTGACACGTGTTTTGTGTGGTTGATGATCGCAGGTGGGCCGGCGGCGGCCGCTTCAGGGGGCTACGGGCCCACGGCGGGTACTGGCGGGGCTGCGGGGGGCGGGCCCGGGGGTTCTTGGAACTCCTGGAACATGCCACAGAATGGGCCCCCTCCAGGGACCCAGCCACCACCACAGCCCCCTCAGCCCAACTCCTCGCAGCCCAACTCCAACTCGAACCCCTCTGGCCCGCAGGGTGAGTCTTCAAGCTCAGTCAATCAAAGTCTTTCCTCTTTCCACCCTTTCGCATCGTATAGCTCTAGTTTCAGCTACTGAAATCTAGCTAAAAAGCCACCTTATAACTGTACTCCTATTTCTATTTTTTCTTGCTCTTTAGTTTATTTACAACTCGGAACACATTGACTCGTTTGTGGGCCCTCGTTGCCGAAAGTCGATTTAACACGATAAAAAACGAGAGTCTTCGCTTGTTATCGGATTTATTTGAAATTGAAACAGATATTTCATGTATTCTGTATTTTTTTGAAAAGTTCGTTAAGGAACCGTGTTTGGCATGATTTACTGTGGACACGTCTAACCAAAATTAATCGTGCTTCCCTACGTTCTTTTTCTTTTATTTATTTATTTATTTTTTTAACCCGTGCTGTTTAATGTTGTCTCATCACGAGGCTTTATTGTAGTACCGTGACATTTTTCGATCGTCTCTGGGAATGTAATTGTGTTTTATGTCGCTGCCTGTTAACAAATACTAATGCGATTGGCTTTCGGGTTTGCGGAAATGACGAGAGCTTGTATGCATTGGGGTCGGAAGAAAATGAAAGTATCTCATATTGTAACCAAGGCGAAATTCGTTTTTCTATATTAATGAATAAAAGTACGATTTCTTGCGAGATCCTGTGTGATTCCAAGCCCTTTCATTGATTTGCAAGTTTGTCAGTTAAATTTTTTTTTTGGGGTCGGAAGCATGTGCCTTTTGATCGTACGAGTTACAAATGTGTACTGAAAAAATAAAGAGAGACCACTTATTATATGAATAAAAAAATTATAATAAAAAATTGCGATATCTAGATGGTAGTGAATTAGAGCTACGCTTGGCATAGTTTTTTTATGCTTTTAATCGTTAGCCAGCAACGGTAGTAATCATCCAAGTATCGCACTTCCTCATTCACCATTTTCACTGTTGAATTTTATTTTTTTTTTTTTATAAATTAATCTGTCCTATATGTGAACCAATACAAGTATTTTCTTTCTTACGTTGGTTGTTCTTCCGAATAGTACCTCCTAGAGATAATAGTTGTTTATTGGCGTTCATAGAAATAGAGTAGGTATTTGAAACAAGATTTTGTAATATGTCCATGTTTCTTATTGCTAGAAGATAACGATCCAAATTTTCTTTATTTTTTCTTCTTCAAAAAATTCGCGAGTAAACATATGATGGAACAATCCTACTCTCACTCCTTTCATTTCCTGTACTGCCTACCAGCGGAATATACGACGGATTTATGTCTATTCCTGTATAAGACTTTTTACACTGTTCACGATTTATTTACTCTGTAATATATTTTTAACGTGACTTCGAGATAATAATAGACATCGATTCGTCTATAGATACCTGAGATCAGTATTGTATTATATTTTTATATAGCAAGTTTATTATCCCGAGAATTCGTTAAAATAGTCACTTATGTGAGTCACGCGTTGTCTTGTGATTGTCCATTTGATAAATATCGACCAGTGAACAAAACAGAACGCACATAGGTGTCCAGATATTCAACATACTGGTCTCAGTGTTTCATACAAATACAATTACGCTACTTTTAAACAGACTCTAACATATTTGACGGACAAAAGATACCAGAGGAACATTTCAGATACTTCTGCGTTCGACGTAATTTGACTCCAGAATATAAATGAACGCTCGGAGAATAATGCAAATGTTTGTCTTCTTTTTCTCGGAATTATTCTTTGACATTTCGACCGTTGATTTCCATGTAGAGGCATCAAAAATGTATCTCCGATGGTTGAAAAAAAAAAAATAAGGAACACTCTTCAGCTTCTGTATAAATGAGGCGAACGTAAGCGGTGGCGGTTGGATAATGCCACGTTGAAAATCAATGTTCCAGGTGACATGTATTCGCGACAGACCACCGGCTCAGGTGCACCTGGGTCCAGTAGCAGTTCAACTAAGACACCAGATTATACTGGGTACTCCGCATATGGTAATTACGCTGATACCAGTTATCCTCAGCGTTCATATCAGGGAGGAGAGAGCAACCAAGGTGGGTATGCCGCCAGCGCCCCTAAACCCCAGCAAGGCTTTGATTTCAAAGAGTGGCAAACCTCATGACCATTTTAATTGACCCGTGATGGAGAGATGCGCTGAATGGCTTGGCCTTGCTCGTGGGTTTTTTCTTATTACATATTCAGGGAAAATGGAACATATACATTGATCGTGATTCTGCAACTCGGATCTAGGACATTCTTTGGTGGACTTTTACTACTCTGTACAAAGAAAAGGAATGGAATTACATTTTTGTTTCGAACGATTAAACGCTGGTGATGATAGATAAATCCTTTTGCAGACAGACAGAGAGAAAGAAAGAGAGAGAGTGAGTGAGTGAGAGAGAGAGAGAGAGAGAGAGAGAGAGAGAGTGAGTTTGATTGCTGTTCTCGAGTAGATTTTGGGTGTTGATCACAGGATTATATTGGGATTAAAAGTATTACAATAGTATTTCCGTATGTCGTTTTGATGATTGGTTGGAATCGATTGGTGAGATCCTCTTTTTTTTACGCAAAGAATGTCCTGGCCCGAGACAGCATGTCGTTCGCGAGCGGTCGTATTCGCAAGTTGTTTCCGACGATAGCTTTTTCCAAAACATATCTTTTTTTTCGGGATTGAACATTGAGCCCAACGGCATCTGCCCAAGTTTGTAAAACGGAAGCGTCAAGGGAGAGGTGGGGGTGGGGCCAGGTTTGCTTCGAGACACACATTGATTTTTCATTGATCGCTCGCGAGAACGGCCCATGATCTTGTCGGGGGGTTTTTTTTTCGAAACGAAATGGAAAAAGTAGTGAAAACGCATTGAACCTATCATACTTAATTCGAGAATGAGGTATAAAAAGAAACAGTATATTAAAGATAGATAAAGAAAAACAGATAATCAATGATTAAAACACACCCATGGTGCAAGCGAATTTTTTTGTGTATGGCACTGGGATAGAGGGTAGGAAGCGGAAAATATAGAAGTATTATAAGAATCAACTAGAATCGAGTTGAAATTAAGTGAACTCATAAACAAAACAAATTATGAAAAGGAAACAGTAAGAAAGCGAGTGTAAAGAACGAGGAATGCTGGGAATCATTAATTACTTAACAGCATTTACGACCGGGGGGTGAATGAGATATCTCGTTTTTTTTTTTGAGAATTTCTTCTCAAGCGGATGGCACAAATTTTCGATGCTCGTTCACCTCTTTTTATTAATAATTACACTTAGTGAAAGCTCTTCGGTAATTTGAAACTAAGAATAATAAATAAAATGAACTCTATTATTATTAATGGTCTCCAGTGGGATGGTCAGTGATTGACCAGCACTTTCGAGACACCCGTCCCTCCACGATCTCGTATTTATTAAAATAGTTGTTATGCTGGGTAACCGAAGAATGATTATAAAAAAAATGAAAGAAAGAAATAATACGATGAAATAAAAACGTAACGAGTAATTAATGAAATAATTAAGTAAGGTGTTCCACACAGAGACACAAACACAGGCTGACTTATACCTAAACTACATAGATAGTGTAAAATAAAAATAGATCATTTTAATACGATGTATGTATAATCTATGACTCTTTGACAGCAGGGTGCAGTTTCCTTAAGCATCTGTATTTACATGCTTTTCTTTTTCACGTCATATAACTGTAGCAGTGTTCTTCTTGGACGTGTTATTGTCTATTCCATTTTCATTTCTCTTCTACTCTCTTTCGCCTTTGACTTGATTTAGTTTTTGTCTGGTCCTCTTCCGTTTCCGAACTAGACGTCGCGGAACAGCGTGTGGTCCGGAGGGAAGAGGACGAGAAACACGAAAACGATAGGTATTTTTTTTTGTTCTTTTTGAAAGAAAAAAAAAAGAAAGAAAAACGTGAATGAATTGTATCATAAGAACTTCTTGTCCGTCAGACAGGTTTCTGTACGGTTTTGTATTGAATCAAATATGTGAAAACTAGTTTATTTTTTACCTCGGATTTATAATAGTTAATTATTAGGCACGTTTAAGGCTACAATTATTGTTAATATTATTAATTACTTCTACGATAATTATTAACCTATTATACTATTACCATTATAAAATGAGAAAAACTATTTACAGCTACTTACCACTATTTACTGTTGCGACTGCTCCTACTGCAACCACTACGATTGCACTACTATTACACACTATTATTAACTGTCTATGATAATTACGGATATTGTACGATGATGCTTATAAGTGTTTTTAAATTTTAGATGATTAGAGATGAGATCACGGTATCTAAGGATGGAGGGAGGGGTTAAAATATGTTTGTGTAAACTTTGTGTGCGCTTTTTCTCGGCGGGGGGCGTCGATCTGAAAAGTCTACCTGATTAAATATATGACTTAATTGTATTTACTCTGTAGGATTTACCATAGTTCTAAACAAGGAAATATTTCGGAAACGAATGCTCTCAAATATGCTCATGTTATTATTACTGGGCGGGTCGCGTTGTGTCTTACTTTTTGCCAATAAGAAAATCGCAAGTATTACGCTCTAAATGTAATTTTAAACAAATTTTTTACAAGGTCACAAGATAATTCGTAGGTTACAAATAATAAATGGATCCAGCAATTTGTGTAAGCTTCCTCGTTATGATCTCAAATACGATTAGTGTGTCTCTTCAAAGCGATTTATTCTTCCTCTTGTCAAATTACAGTCGTGTATATTCATTACTTTATAACTTTTGTTTTATTTCCATTCATTCGATATGTATATATTTGTTGATTTCCATTTACATTAAAGTATACGTTGAATAACGAAACGATAAGCGATCGAGTTTCGCAGTTTGATATCAAAATGTCCAATCGATTTCATAACACTGTACTTATTCCGTATCATGTACATTCATATAAAACGTCTCCGATTATCATTTCGCGTTCCTCGATTCGGTATAAGAATATTCCTTGTTGAAATTTATAGTTCTAGTAGAACAGGGATACGATTTAATAGCCACCGGGACGAAGAGAAAGCATTAACAAACGCGACTCGTGGAAACTTCTGGGATCAACGCAATAACACACACGTTCACTTGACTAAACCTTTGAAAGAAAAAAAAAAGACAAGAAGAGACCAGAGTTAGGGAGCTCAATCAAACGTTAAAAAAACAACAATTTTTACACTAATTGTTATGGTAATTTACACGGAAATCACACGTGAACGGATATACATGTACGTACTCTGGACACATTTACACGTTCAACCACGTATTACACTTCTACGCGCATGAATGAAGTAGAAAGAGAAGCATGATAATTTATATACACTGTGGCCACAAGTTCTGTCGAACAACCGACTAAATAGTGAATTTAATAAGATGCTAAAGTAGATTTAACACGAAACAAAATAGCGGTGACTTTTTGCGGTTGTTCTAAATAATACGTTATTTAATACCTATTTGAGAGGCGATATTTAGAGAGGGAGAAAGAGTGGGAGAGCGAGGGTGGGAGGGAGAGAGAGTGCCAGAGTGTGCGCGAGAGCGGCAAATTTAAATAAAGAGAGAGACGGAGAAAAAAGAGTTTTATCTCTACGGCTGTTTTTTCAGAATTTATTTTATACAGTAATATAATAAACAAACGTAAACAAGAACCACTAGTATATCGATTATGATTATAATTAATTACTAACTAATTGTATTCCTTACTACTATCTTATCGATTTTTAAAATAACGGTTAAAGCGTATGAATAAATTTAAAGACTTTTTACGTGTATGTAAAGCGTCAGGAGAAAGTGATTATATTAATATACATTTGATTTATAGGTCGCGTCGTTAACGATAATTAAAATATGTTTGTTGGGATCGGTAAGCGAGGTAAATTAATTTGTATTATAATTAACGAGTCTCAGAGGGGATGATTAAATTTACACTAAGCGTGGAACGTAGAGCCGTGAATAGAAACTTATAAAGCAAATGGATAAACAAGAGAATGATAGAAATGTTTAAAATGGAAATGGCTGCCTTGCCGCACTGTGTACATACCATAGATTTTAAGGGTACGGTTGGAAGTATTATAGTGTTCGAAGGATTACGAGCGAATGTGGTAGCAAAGGGATACTGAGGAACACATTACCAACAAGGAGACACCACAAAATGATGACAGGTAAAAGCGGGAACTAGCGGGACTATTCGAGATAATTGACGATTAAACTAATTATAACAGATAATATATTTATATTTAACGCAATATTATTAGTATTTTTCAATACCAGAGATAATGCATCTAATTAACGTAAATACGTAGGCAAATAGGGAAAGATACTTTGATTCTAACCGTTGTTACTACTTGTCGTGTTTGCAGTTCTTGCGAACGTTCGACTTGCTCTCAGGGTTGTTACTGTCTTTTTTTCCTCTTTTTCTACTGTTTTTTTTCGTCCCCTTTTTTATCCGTTTCGTAAGTTCTCCCTGTCTTAAGTTCGATTAACCTTTATTAATTCACGAGAGTCGTTGTATTTATAATATTCTTTAGGTTCGATTGTCCTCGTTTCTCCTGTTCATTGTCGCGAAGACCACACACCCAGCGCTCAAGTATTTTGAAAGGAATATTTTTCTTAATGTTTTTGTCAGTTTTTGAGCGGCATCCTTCAAATAATAATATTTACTCTCGATTCATAGGACTGACTCACTGTAATATTGTACATTTAAGAGTTTTTAAGTATTGAAAACCGCAGACAAGCTGTTAGATTTACATATTTTTCGTTGTTACTTGTAAGACACTGCAACGGGGAGAGTAAACAAAAATTGAGAAAAAAAATTATTTCGACTTTACGAACAGGATAGAGATAACTTTTTTACACTTTTTTACATACGTTAGTATTCCCCTCTTTCTGCACACCGTTGCAGGATTAGATCCAATGGCGACACCGTTTTCCCCCATTTCTTCGTGAATTTCGTGATTCTTCTCTTGCTCATTGTCTCTTTTTACCTTTGTTTCCCTTACTGTTCTCCTTTTCGTTATTTTGTCGTTTTTTTTTTACACTGAATCAATTCC